ACACCACCGCACTCTACCAAGGGAGAGCCGGGCGTTGTGATGGGCAGCTGTAGTCCCAGCTACCTGAGAGGCTGAAGCAAGAGAATCGCTTAAGCCCAAGAGTTTCAGATTGCTATCAGCTGTGATGCCACAAGCACTCTACCGAAAGCGACATAGTCAGACTCTCTTAAGGAAAAAAAAAAAAAAAAAAACGACTATAGTCCTAGCTTCTTGGGAGGCTAAGGCAAGAGGATCATTTGAGCCCAAGAGTTTGAGATTGTTGTAAGCTATGGCATCAGGGCACTCCACCAGGGCAAGAAAATGAGACTCCGTCTCAAAAAAAGAAAAGAAAAAGTTATTAAGACTGCTGTCAAATACATTAATTATACAAATTTCAGATTATTGATCATAATTTAATATACTGTATACTGATTGGAAAATATGTCTCCTCATAAACAATTTGTATTTTCAGATTAAATGTATTAATTATGTTAAGAAGATACTCCCCAATTAGCTGATTTCTCTTACCTGATCAAAAAGAAGTCTAAGTTGCCTTTCAGATTCACCAACCCATTTGCTCAAACAATCTGCTCCTTTTCGCATAAAAAAAGCCACTTTTTTGTCTCCTTGACTGCATTCATTAGCTAAAGCCCTGGCAACCAAGGTTTTACCAGTGCCTGGGGGACCATAAAACAAACAGCCCCTAGAGGAATAAAGAATCAAGAAAAGTAAATTAATGTTCTCGCCACCACTGTTAACCAATTTAAAAGGATATCCCTCAGTCCCACATAATTTTGTAGTACTATATAATTATTAGACATTGATAAAGCTTTTTCCAGTATATAGACAAGGTTTCATTTTCTTAGTCCTTAAAGTACCAAGCTTTAGTAGACCAGAAATGGTTGAAGTACCCAGTAATCTGGCAAGATATTCTGAAATTTTAAATGTATTTCCCTATGATCCAAAAATATCGTATCTTAGAATATATCATATAGAAGCTCTACGCTCGTAGCACAGTGGTTATGGCGCCAGCCACATACACAGAGGCTGGTGGGGTGGAGCCTGACCCAGGCTAGATAAAACAACAATGGCAACGAGAAAATAACCAGGTGTTGTGGCAGGCGCCTGTAGTCACAGCTACTTGGGAGGCTGAAGCAAGAGAATTGTTTAAGCCCAAGAATTTGAGGTTGCTATGAGCTGTGAAGCCATGGCACTCTACCAAGGATGACATAGTGAGACTGTCTATAAATAAATAAATAAATAAAATATCATATAGAAATAATCAAAAAATAAAGAGGGCCAGGGATGGTGGCTCACACGTGTAATCCCAGTGCTTTGGGAGATCAAGGCAGGAGGATCACTTTAGGCCAAGAGTTCAAACCAGTCAGGGCAACACAGTAAGACCCTGTCTATACAAAAATTTAAAAAAATTAACTAGGCATGGTGGTGCACACTGTTGTCCTAGGTACTTGGCTGGCTGAGACAGGAGGACTGCTTGAGCCCAGAAGTTCACGATTATAGTGAGCTATGATTGCACCACCACGCTCCAGCCTGGATGACAGAGCAAAACCCCGTCTCTTTAAAAAAAAAGAAAAAACAAGAATGTATAAAGGCAAGATTCTTCCTATCCTTAAATACATGGAAAATAAACTAGAACCAAATCTGAATAAAAAGTGCCTCCTCAATGAAAACAGGCATTTATCAGGTTCATAGTCTATGTATATATACACATACATATACAGTTTAATAATCTAAGATAGAAATACATAAATATATCTCTTCAGAGTATTTATTCTGCCCAATCCCCTTTAACATAATTTCTCAATCTTTTTCTTTCCAGGTTAAAAAAACAGCCTTTAAACTTTCTAACAGTTCAATGGCCATCTCATGATCAGACATAATCATAAAAATAAATTGTCAAGCTCAACCTATCTCAAAAATGCCCCATCATCAAGTCAAAGAAATACTTCAGTTAAATTGTGCTTCTAAACTAAACAATATATAGCATTGAACTCCATACTATTAGAAAACCCAATTCAAGAAAAGCCATTTGGGCAATCTAGTTGTATATTCATTCAAGGACTACATAAAGAATCTCATCTTGTGCCTGAACTCTATTTTTTTTTTTTTTTCAGAATATTACAGGGTTACAGACATTTTAGTTACATTTTTGAGTCAAAGTTATAAGTGTGCCCATCATTCAGATAGTATGCATTGTACTCGCTGGGTATGAATTAACCCATCCCCCACGCCACCTATTTCATTCCCTATGAGTGTTACTTCCATATGTGTACTTAAGCATTGATCAATTAGTTACAATTTAATATCAAGTACATGTGGTGTTAGTTTTTCCATTCTTGTGATAATTCATTTAGAAAAATAGTCTCCAATTCTATCCAGGTTAATACAAGAGGTATTAGTTCACCATATTTTATGGCTGAGTAGTACACCATGATATACATATACTACGTTTTATTAATCTACTCTTGTGTTGATGGGCACTTGAGTTGTTTCCACATCTTTGCAATTGTAGATTGTGCTGCTATTAACATTTGAGTGCAGGTATGTGCCTCACGTTTAAATCTTGAAATGTAAACTTCAAACGCACACTTAGCTCCAAAGCCTCTAAGCCCTAAATAATAAAATTTCATTCCTAATTGTTATTGCTAGGACACATCAAATAAATATATATGAAATATTTATATTATAATCATTTACTCAATTAAAATTTGATAAATAATAACAATAGTAAACAACTAAGACATTACTTACCTTGGAGGCTGAATTTTAAATTTTTCAAAAATTTCTGGATATAAAAGTGGGAATACTACCATTTCCTTTAGTGCATGAATATGATGGCTCAATCCACCTATGCTATCAAACCGCACCTTGGAAAGAAGCATAAAAGTTTGATATAAAATAATTACATCTTTTATAGAATTTTAAAAATTACGAAATAGTCTTATAATTCAGAAATATAAGCTTTAGCAGGAGCTTTTAAACATAACTAGAAATAAGTATAAAAAAATAAAGTCATCAGTAAAATTCAAGTTTACATTTCAGTTGAGGCAAATTAAGCTATCATCCTTTAATCTAGTAACTCAAGACCAAGATTAATGCCCAACTTAACACTTTAGTGGAGATGTTGTATTATATTCAAACTCTAACAGTTTAATGACTTTCAAAATACGTATATTTTGTTCGTGCATTCATGAAAGGGCAATATCCTCCCTACAGAGGCAAAATTTAGTACAGAGGTAGGGCAAGAAAATCTTACCTATTACAATGGTTTGTGGCCCTCCAAAGCTCAACCTCACCTGATGAAATTTTATTAATATTTAATTTCTCTAGTTAACAAGAATTTTAACCTTTCTCCTTACAGGACAATAATGAAAAAATAGTTTGAGAAACATTGCTCTACCACAAGGAGGAACAAAAATTCTTCCTCCCACAATAGTTTAAGCAACTAAAAGAAATGTAAAGAAAAAAAAAGTAGGCTCAGTGCCTATGGCTCAAGTGGCTAAGGTGCCGGTCACATACACCTAAGGTGGCGGGTTCAAATCCAGCCTGACCCGCCAAACAATAATGATGGCTGCAACCAAAAAAAATAGCCAGGTGCTGTGGTGGGCACCTGTGGTCCCAGCAACTTGGGAGGCGGAGGCAGGAGACTCTCTTGAGCCCAGGAGTTGGAGGTTGCTGTGAGCTATGCCACGGCACTCTACCCAGGGAGACAGCTTGAGGCTCTGTCTCAAAAAAAAAAAAAAAAAAAA